GATCACACATATACTGTATGTGTATTGAACTTTTCCTTGGACTACTTCTGTTACAGTTATGACTTTACTGCTTTAACTAAGTGCACAATAGCATGGCTTTTTATACTCTATATTGTACGACAATTCCTCTACATATCTTTGTTTTGGTCTGTTCTACGGAAGTCATACTTCATGGCAAAGTCAAAACCTGTCAGTTCTCAAGAGAGAGTGATACAATGCCGAGTGCTACTAAGGAAAAATACTTTATTCATAAACTAGAAGACATTTGCTCATGAGGCATAATACAACACTCCTGAGACATCACCTGAAATGCTATCGCAGCAAATACGCTAATTGTAGTACCCTAACACTACCCTGATTGTACTCTTGTCCATTACAGGCTAATGGTGAAAGGAGAGCTATCTTGTAGAATTCCATCACTTAGTTATATTATAAAAGTGCTCTGGTACTATCAGAATTGTAACGTCATTATATAGTCTTACCATACATCGACATATCCTATGTGAAGCATTTTTCATAGAAATCGAAAATTTTCTTTTCCTAGAAAAATCCCGTAACCAAAGGGTTAACAGATCAAGCATTTAACGTCTATTTTTCTTCAAAATGTGGATCTCGAAGCCAGCACGTTCAATAGAGCTGGGACTTTGTGCACAGATTGAGGATAGACAATTTATACGCTAGAAATTTTCCAGCTTCATGTCTTTTTAGCTAGCGGAAGGTCAATTAATTTCAGTATATGTAATGGTAGGCATTTGGCATCTATCGTATCTCCAAGTGCATTCAACTACCTTAAGATATAAAGACAATTCTCGTTTTTTTACTTTAAAGAAAACACTTGAGACTTGCAACTGTTGTTGCCCTTTTTTTGCTTTGCTTCTTTTTCGTACTCGTTTGATTGAGTATTCGATCGAAATCGTGAGGAAAAAATGCGCAATTCTACTTAAATAGCGAACTTTTGAAGGAAAGTAACAAGTAAGAAAAAGATTTTTTTCTATGTTTAAACCTTTTAAAAAAAAAGGATTACGAGAGTCGTTGGACCGAAGCATGAACTTTCGGATAAAAAAAAAGATTTAATTTTGTTTCGTATTGGAACAAAAAGCTTCTGGAGACGCATCACCGACCATATGATTCGAAATAAAAATGAAAAACATTTTCTGCCTTTACTAAAAAAAAGCTGTTAGTGTACTTCCTGTGGGATTAAAATGTGAAACATGATTCATCTACTTATTCAAAATAAAGGACACTATAATGTCTGTGAGAGTCTGGAATAAGGATCAAATTTGCTACCTTTATACTTCAAAATTCGTTTTAGATTGTGTTTCACAAAAATACTGTAATGTTGGTATGGTCTACGATAGTCTCTGATTCATGTGTGTGTCACGGTCTGTGTGGGGCGAGGACGAGAGGTTCAGGTCTAGATTTTCTACTTTTTTACTTCAGTATTTCTTCTAGATTGTGTTTCACAAAAAGCCTGTCTTTTTCAGTAGTGGATGACGGAAATGATCAAAATTTTGGCGCGAAAAAAATCGATGTTGATGTAAAAATTATATTGTTGTTAAAGTATAGCATGATTGAGACTATAATCATCAGCGTTTATCTGAGTTTTCATTTTTTGGAGATATTGATTTTTTCTGTTGAAGAGGCTTCAGAAAAACAATACATGAATGGGATACATACACATAAGAATAATGCGATGCACCTTCGTCTCTAAAAGAAGACTAACATCCTTTCCGTTTCATGTTACAATTGATAGAAAAATTAAGACACAAGAGTAATAAATTACTCCACTGGACTTTCCAAATTTTGAAGACGATTTCATAGGGCTCCATAAGACGAGAGTCTGTTGTTTCTCTTCTGGTCTAGTGTCTTTTGAGTCCGATAAAAATATCTTAGGTTCAAAAAAGTATTTTGTATGTTGTAAGTCTGGAACAGGAATACTACTGTGGGGGCGAATTGAATTTATCGCCTTCGTATTTTTTTTTGTTTTTATCACTGTAGTCTTTTTATATATTAATTCATTACTATATATAGAGCAAGAAAATCCGAAACGTGCTGTATCTTTTGGTATATTTATATTGAATATCAAATGCAGTTTAAGGTGTAAAAAACGTACTAGAAAAAAAAGTAACATATTATTTTTACTACAATGTATATTGCAAATTCAGTGACGGTATGGATGCAACTGTGAAGGTCAGGATGGATGTGAATGAATGTACGTAAGGGTATGGGCGTATTTGGATGCGAATGTGAGTGTGGAATGAATATAAAATAATCTCAACCCCAGTCACACATACACCGACACTCATAGGGTGTTGGTGTAAGTGATTGAAGAAGAATAGCTGCAACTACACCCACAGATTAAAATAGTCGCTTTAAAATTGTGCAGAATCTTGGAATTCAAACCTGCTTAAGTCCAATATTCAAAATCATACAGTACCATCTGAAAACACGTTTTTCTCTTCATAATTGACAGTTGAATATGGTATAACACATAAGGAGTATGAAAATTAGTAACAATTATTTAATTTCTTTCAATATATATGTGAATTGTTATTGCCGTTACTGTTTTCTCTAACTAAAATGACAATAAGAAAAGCTCTTCAAGATTAAGGGTGATGTCAAGGATTGGTAGCATATGTAACGCATCATATTCTAATATATTGGAGCATATTCTCTGTATTATTTTGCAATTTTATCTGCTTCATATCAACAAGTATATCAAGCACTTCTTCGGGTAAATATTTCTAGTTTTTTATACTAAAAGTACAACATTATATTAAAACACAAAGCAGCATATGAAAATACAAAGTATGCTGTTTGGTACTTAACGAGAGTTGCCTATTTGTATTTTTGTAAAATTAATTAAACTCTAACGTAAATTACAAATAATTTAATTTGAAAATAATTTTAGTATGTTTTTATTATTAGTTTACTTTATTTTAATTACGAATTCTGATAATTTAAACTAAAAATAGATTTAAATTACATAATTTTAGTTTATGTTAAAGTTCATATAGCGAAAATTAAAATTAAAATAGACTTCAACTATAATGCGAAAAAAAATTACTTTTTTTGAAATATAGGTTATTTTTAATTTATTTGTGTACTTAATTTCTTTTCAATATAAAATAGCTTCTCTGAAATACCAGCAATTAGAGGATCTTTTTTGAAAAAATAAAACTAATTCTAAATTAGTCTCGTTCAACTTTATCTCTCTAATTTTGTATACTATGATAGAAATTTTTTATTTATACAAAACTTGGTAAAATTCGAAGTAAAATTGTGTTAAATAGCATCTCAGAATGTTTATTGATATGTAGAAGTTAATCACTTGATCGTACAATTCAATCGGCTAAATGACAGGTAAGAAACATATTATATGCATGTTTGAATCTAACCTTCATCCTTACATATTTCAATTTAGATTAGTCCGGACCAGACCAGTGTATAAGACTACAACTCCTCGTATGCAGCGTCATGGACTCCCACACTTTTTTTTATTTACAAATGTTTTTGGACGGACCTCAAGGATTGTACAACATGCCTAGTCCTTTTCTCACAAAAGACTAGACGAGACGTGCCGTTATGACAAGAACAGCGACTAGTCTTTTTACCCGTCCTTTGTTCATCTGGGTAAGATGTAAAATATTTAGTCGTAGTCAATAAAGGAACATCACCTTTCATGATCTCAATGAAGTTTGGACTATTTCCTTTTTAGATAATAGCTTTAACTTTTCACTACATAACTGTATATTTCAACCAATTATCTATACATGTATTTGTATCAACAGCATAAATTTACAGAGAAAGATCAAAACTTTTGGATAACCCTTTATTAAGACTGTTACTCATAGTTATCACTATAATTAATAGCCTAATATCAAATATGTATCTGCACTTTCTCTCTTGCTTTAGATTCCCATTTGTTATATATACATGATCTCAGAGTCGTCTCATCCATCTAAATTGTATGATAAAAATACATGTCCTTTATAATCTAAGCATATACAAAGGTTGTTATCAGAAAAAATAAACAAATAGCTTAATTCTACTTGTAACATTTTAAAAATGTTTAGCTCAAATCGATAACTATAAAATGATTTGTATCTTCATCACACTGATAATTTTTAAATATTCTACTATTTTGTCGAGTTTTTCTTATCAAACACTAATTTCCTTTTTTTTTGCGCAGTAAAGAAAATTTTCTGTTATTTCGATTTAATGTTGTATTTTTAAATGAATAATAATCCTAATTCTAATGAAGTACCTGAACAAATAAATCTGTCTAATCGAATAACAACATCAAAAATTCTTGAAAAAAAAGAAGTTCTTATATTACATCAAGTTCCTATTCAACTTCATACAGCTCAACAAGAAATAAATAATTTACGTCTTTTAAATATTTGTCTTCAATCAACATTAATTCGTGTTCAAACTCAATTAACTGAATATTTACCAGTTAATATTCATGATGAAATAAAACGAAATGAAACAAAACAAAAATTAATTTCATTACGTCAAATCGATGATCAAAGTCGACGAATTATTCATCCACAACAAATATCTTTTTTTCAAATAATTAATAATTTTAAAAATTTATTAGATATTAAACAAAAACAAGAACCATTTAATAATAAAGATATTCCATTATCGAAAAATGAAAAACAAATTGATATTTTATATGAAATGTTTCATGAACTTAATACTATAATACATACAGAACATCATGATAGAATTTGTCAACTTTATATTACATTAGCTGAAACATCTCATTCAGTAAATCAAGCACGGGAAAGTAAAATTCTTTTTTTCTTTTCTTTTTTTTTTTTTGAAACTATTTTCTTATAGTTCTACATCATACAATTCATGCACATAAAATCATTACACGACGAAAAATTAAACGAAAAATAATTTTCATATTAATTGCATGTACATTCATTTCAATATTTATATTTATAATTATTATATCTATTCAAATACATTAAAATTCTGTCTGTTTTTCATTTCGATACATTTTTATTAATTGTATAATATTCATAATTAGACTAAGAAGAATAAAGATAATACCAATAATTACAATAATTATAACACCAGACATCAATTGTTATAATGCGCGCGTTTATTTGAAAACATTCATTATAATGTTACGTTTATCTTGCTATAAATGAAACACCTTTACGAATTAAAATAATTCGTGTTTGTGGGTATGGATATATTGGATATTTGACAACTTGAAAAAAAAAAGAAACAATATAATAGGTGACCGAAAAGTAACTAGACAAAATATTCATTCATTTTTCAGTGTGTTTAAGAAACCTGCAGAACTTGGAAACTATTCAATTTTGTAGAGAAACGGTTTCTATTTCATTCACTATATTTAAAATAATTTTTGCTTCTATTTTCAGTAATTTTTTGGTGCGCTGAAGTTCGCTCAAACTCAATTTATAAATCTCTACAAGATTACCTCACATCACTTAAACTATCATTCCTAGAAGAATTTTGAACTCATATTTGAAATATGACATAAAATTCTTATTTTAATCTAATATTTTCGAATTTCTGCAGATGAAAAATTAACATTCTATCTAGTTACTTTCTGAAGATTCGTTATGCAAGAGGAATTAAATTTTTGAGTTCTACTTACATTTGATATTTTTTAAAATAAGAAGCCATTTCTCGTTTGCATCTGATACATGAAACTAAAAAAGATGTTTTCTTTCTGTTTCTCAAGGATTTCTTAATGATCATTAGACTTACACGAGAACCAATGGGATGATTAAAACTTCCACCGTGTATACGAACGAATTCTTCAACTATATTTGTTAATGATCGCTCACTAGATTGATTAAAACAATTGAGAAAACGACGTAAAAGACCAGTTCTAAATACTTTCTTGGTAAAATCATGACTTATTTAAAAAAATTCTTGTATACCTTCGATGTATTGATAACCAAATCTCCGAGATCCATGACTGATCAGTAGTAGATATTTGAACAAGATTATTATCGTATAAATGATCTTGACCTTTGATTGCTAAATTTTGATTGACAACATCGTTGCCTATTAGATAATAATAAATCAATAATTCACAAAAAAATTTTTTAAATTTCTATTTACCGAATTCTTGTTGGTCAGCACAATCAAAATAGATATCTTGTAAATAAAATAAAGAATTTTTATCATAAAATAATCAACTAACCTGTTTCATCATTAATTGAATCTTTTTCTTTAAAAAAAAACAACAAATATTAATCCAATTTCATTATCAATCAATGACACTGACCGATATTATTTTCGAGCCATTGTTGTAAAATCTGAATATGTTTATTGATTTCTTGTTTTTGATATTCAATAGGATAAGTTTGATAAGATTGATAATCACGATAGATTATTAAGCGATTATTTTGTTCACCTTGAAGGATTCAAAAAAAAAAAATTAGAAATTTTACTGTTGAAATTCACGACGAAATTCATTAGCAATATATTTGTTCATGCAATTCTATACTTCTACATACTTACAATACATATTGAAAATGAATGAGATTATAAGAGGCCTTATTATCTTTTTTGCGTATATATCTATATTATAAACTAAACATCAAATGCATGTATACACATTGTAAATTATGTTCTCTTATCTATCATTATAATAGAACAGTGCAAAAAAAAAAATTATAATCTTGATATATGAATACTCTATTCTTTCGTCTTTTCTTTCGTAACAAAAAAGTTAATTCTTTCTTTTTTCATTAAAATACAATTTTTTTTTTCATACAAATGAATAACTTGATTTATATGAAAGTGTTTCTACTTCATCTAGTTCTTCATCAATATCTATTGATTTGATTGTTGTTATATGTCTAAAATTATCATTTGGTATTAATTTTGCTGTGAATAAGCGATTGTATCGTTTAGTAGATGGCTGAATATCACATCAAATGAATTTTCTCGTTGTAATTTTCTATTGAAATTCATATGATATAAATATGGCGAACTAATGGGTCTATCAGATGTTCTTATATCGTTCAATTCTTCATTTTCATAATTCCAAAATTGAGGAGCATCAATCAATTGTATATGATTAAATTTTTCATAATCGAATCCACTTAATGTAGAATTACATGGTGAAAATTGATAACCCCATAAAAGTTCATTAGGTAAATAAGATGTACGAAAATGACATCAAAAACCAGTATAATCAAAAGAACCTTCAATAATAGCAATGATTTCAAAATGTTATTTTTCTAATGTTGATTGTTGTATACCATAAAGTGGACTACGTGAATTAATAATATGTTCAACAATAGTTGGTTGAGGAAAAAATAATTGATCATTACGTAAGTGTGGTAATTCCATATCATAGATTTGATGAGGAATTATTTCACCTTCAAGTGTTCGTCGCTGACGAATCATTAGTAAACGAACACTAGCAAATATCAATTAAGAAGTTGATAAGTTAACTATAAAAAAAAAGAAAAAGAAATGAATCTTTCTTTTATAATGGTTTATTTGACATACCTATTCGAAATGTTAATGGTAATTGATTATTTCGTGGGGCAATGAGCGGATAATTACTGAATATAATAAATTGGGATTTTTCTAAAAATATACAAAAAATATTCATTTATTATCATCAATCAAACAAACTAACAAAAATAATATTCTTTCATTATGGAATATTTCTAGAAGACCTTGATGGTTTACAATCTATTCTGAAATTATTCATAGAATTAGTTCAGCTTTGAATTTAATTAATGAAATTTACTTTTATTTTGTTAAGTATCAGAAAAAAGAATAACCTTCGCCTGTAGGTCGTGATAATTTAGTAAAAACAATTTGTGTGACAATAACTTGTAATAAATATTCAAGTAATGATTGAAGAGTTCATACAAGTATACCACCCATACATTCTGTTGTTATATATCTTGAACCATAACCAATTGTATGTTGTGTTTCAATAGAAAAAAGTAATGCACTTAAAAAATCATGTACAGGGTTGCCAAAAATGTTTTGCCCGGGGGATACAGCTCCAATGACAAATGATATCAATATTGAATTTGATACAAAATGGAAGCCCGTCAAGAATGGGGTTTATCCATACGAATGAATAAGGGCTATAAAGACTTTTCTCTATCAAACTTTGATAATTTCTAAAACTCCATGAACTATAGTCATAGCAAAACTATCCTTTATCATAGAGAACTCAAACTATTCCTGATATAAAATTACTAAACATAGAAAGGTTATCCTTACTTTTTATGGCTTAATGAATGATACAAAATAAAGGTAACTTTGCTAGATTCAGTATTTTTATATCAGAAGTAGTCTGAGTTCTTTATGATAAAGGATAGTTTTGCTATGACTATGGTTCATGGAGTTTTGGAAATTTTCAAAGTTTGATAGAGGAAAGTCTTTATAGCCCTTATTCATTCGTATGAATAAACCCCATTCTTGACGGGCTTCCATTTGGTATCAAATTCAATATTGATATCATTTGCCATTGGAGCTGTACCCACGGAGCAAAACATTTTTGGCAACCCTGTACATCTTGAACACATTTTTTTTGTTCTATTTTCAAATATTGTCGTGTATAATTTGTTTGATTATCTAATAAAACTTGTTCATCATCGTTTAAAACAATATATCCATGTTCAATTGAAATAAGAACATAAAGTGAGGAAAAGAAAAACCAACCTAATATAAAACCAAACAAAACAAATATTAATACAAGCCACCAGTAGAGGGCTGTAGATTGCTCTATTTTGACAACCTGACTCTGCCCTGCCCTGCAAGTTTTTGTTATGTACCCTGTTCTGCCCTGCCCTGTTTTCTTTAAAACTAAAGAAAATTCCAAACTTTCGTATTAACTCATTATACAATTTCATTTCGATTTGTTACAACCATGAAGCAAAAAACAACAACATTATGTATCTCGAAAATTTCTAATCACGAAAATATCATCAACAATATCTGAATTTAAAAACTATCTTTTTTTTCTAATATTCGATCTGATGAACTAAAACATACTCCGATATGGGTATGCATCTTCTCTTCGTACCCGCACCCTATCAAGAGTTTTGTTGTTTTTTAGTGTATTTGATTCATCTAAACAATTTTTAAAATGATAGCTACTAGTAGAAGTTTCGTTTGATATGGAATATGATAATATCTCATGACACAATCGACATTTTACAAATGGTGAATATACATTATTCAAACGTTTAACACGTAATAAATGTTCCTAAAATGAACCATGAGATGATAATGGCGGTTCTACTATAGCTATAAATTCATCAGTTTTAAGTTTTTCTATCACCCACTTCTTTTTTCGTTCTATATCTTTTTTTGAATTAAACATAGTTGATATTTCACTAGCAGAAAAATCTAACCGATATTGATGATGATATTTGAGAGATTAGTTAATGATGATAATGAAGAAAAGATCAAGATAAAAGTCAAAATAAGAAAACTAAATGCAAACTTGAGTAACCATATAATGTATAATGGATAGATTACCGACATATTTGCTTCTATTAAATATCTTTGCGACCAATCTAAATTGATTGTTCAGTTCACTTTCACTTCTATTTTTTTTCTTAATGTATAAATTTAGAAAAGATGTTGACAATATCTAGCGCATAAAAATCGTCACAGGTTGACAGCACATGTAAAAAAATGGATTAAGAATCAGATTAAAAATCGATTATAATGGCACTATTATAATCTGATTTTAATCAGATTTTTCAGCTTTAAAATACAGATTTTATTTGATTTTGATTTTTTTTATATCTATTTTAATCGATTATTATAGTAATTGTAGGTAATTGGTTAAAATAGATTAAAAGAAAATCAAAATCAAATAAAAACTGTCTTTTAAAGCTGAAAAATCTGATTGAAACCAGATTATAATAGTGCCATTATAATCGATTTTTAATCTGATTCATAATGCAAATTTTTTACATAGGAGGTCACGATACTCGTACTCTGCAGCCTTTCCTGTAAAAATTTTCATAACCCGGCACTGCCCTGCCCTGTCAGGGCAGTGCAGGTTATCTATACCCTGTTGGGCTCTAGTCACCAGTAGAGCCTATCGGGTCCGGGTATGGTCGGGGTCTGAAGATTTTTTTTCGAGCGGATCTGGGTCCGGGTCTAAAACTTTTTGCACCCGATGGGCTCTACCCACAAAATATCAATCACCCAATATATATTCGTCTGTTCTGTTTTATCTTACAGTTGGTTTTTCGTTCATGATTGACATTTTGTATTATGAAAAGGTCTGATCATAAAATGATATTCAGTCATCCTTCTGTTCATTGTTAATATAAAGCACCTAAAGTTTTTTCTTTTTATTTTATCCTCTCTATTATTAAATTTGGAAGTGCATACGATGAATATCATAAGCGTTCATAACTGTTTGATTATACGACTGCATATTGTTATAGTGCATACAGAATCATAGACAAACGAAAAAAATTGATTCACAATATAGCATGACTGGTGAATAAAATATGATGAGAATATGCAACTTAGGAATGAAACCAGGAAAAACTGGAAAGAAGACAAACGAACGAAAAAAAAAGCGGTTACAGTAAAGAGAAGAGAGAGAGAGAATAACAAACACAAGCGCGCCAAGTTTTACATGGATAAATAGTCAACGCACAAAAGAAGCAGTGATTGATGCCTTGCATGTATATGTTACACTTGTTTCATTCGAAAGAAATGTAGTGGCGTAATCAGGGATGTGCTAGGCTCGCCACTGCTCTACCAGCAGAAGAAAAAAAGACTATAATAATTATCCTTATTGACGCTATATTTCATGAATTTTCTCCAAGATAATGGAGCATTGTCCTACCATTCAAGATCTTCTGTTTATACCACTAAAGAAATGTCCAAAAGACTCATTCTTTTTACTCTTATGAAATAAATCTTAATTAAGCATATTACTAAAAAAACTATTGACCGAGTTAAATAACGTATCTAATCACAACGACATACTCCTAATTTTAATTTTCTCAATGTAACTATCGCAACTGATTTCCAAACATCGGAATACTTGTGTTTTCTCAACTAAGTATTGAAACAGCGTATGAAACAACTTATATAATTCTGTCAAAGCTATTTGTTCATAACATTGAATAGTCTTGATGATGACAAAGAAAGTATATTTCCTTTGCTTATTTTGGTAAACATAAAATTAAACTTTTGGATATTCTACTTGATCTCACAACCGTATTGAGTTGTGTTCAATCTGCAACTATGAGTAGAGGATGTGGCAATGATCGTTCGAGACATATTTTACTCTTGTACACAGATAAAAATAATATTGATCCTTGAATAAAATAGTCATTACAGACAGCGTCGGGTGCGGTTACTGAGAACATGGATAGTGAAGGTTGTACTATTGCAATGCTCTGATCATGTACAGAAGCAGTACTACTGAGAATTTTTTCTTTTTCTTTCCATTGTATAAGTCGTTGTTTTAAAGCAACAAAAAAGCCTACGTAATTCACATACTATTTATCGATATTGTTCTCTCTATTCGTTTCCTTCATCCAAAAATCTTTTAAGAACATGAGAATAGTTTCATACAGTTTCCAACTCACATTAAAAAACATTTTATTCTTATCAAAACCAACATTTTCACAAATAATCATTACTGGTGAGAGATCACTAGTGCCAGTCTTCACAATCTCTTCTCGTGCACCTTCTACATTTGTAAACATTAAATCAATGTTTCTTTTCGAATGTTTAGTAGAATGTGACGTTGATGGAATGTAATAACGATTGTTTTTATTCTACACATCCTTTTCAAACTTCTATCTCTTTTATGGGTACATTACAATCAACAATGATGATTGTATTTTCAATGATGTATGATTGTAAATTTCCTAAATCTTCTACTCTGTACTGGCGGTCAATAAATAGCAATTGTTCGAATTGTTTGACTGAGCCCAGTACAAGCTGTTCAAACAAAATACTAAATTGAGCTATTCGATATGCATTTCACAGATTATCAACTTCTGTAAATACAAAAATTAGAGACATTCATTTTATGACGAACGTTCTGACAGAAAAGAATCAAAGAGAGTTGTTCTTTTAACAGAGAGATATTTTTACATTGCATCAGGATATTTTCTTAAAAATCTGCCATAATCATTCTGCAAAAACTTTGTCTACTTGTTTCTGATCTTTTTGTCTAGAAGCCTGATTGACAAAACTGTTTTATTGTTGAGAACAGAAAAAAAATATATGGCATCTACCCTCCATTTAGAAAACATAGTACTTATGGAAATGCTCATCTTTGAATAATAATTATTATTTCGTGTGTTGACAGTTTTTTTCGACCGATGCAATGAAGAGAGACATAGAAATGGCGATGTATGCTGCTGTTGATCTCTCCATCCGGCAATATTAAGACTGTCATCATCGATTAGACTAAATCATTAAGTAATAATTCAAGTGTAGGCAGTAGTTGTAATTTAATATTCAGAGCTATTTGATTGATTTTCATATTGATACGATCTAAGTTTTTATCCATACAAGACGTAGTCTTTACCATATTGAACATGTTTTGTTTGATTAATAATAACATTTTGGTTGTATCTTCATTAGTTATTGTTCATGATTGTAATAGAGCAAATATGAAACAATAATCGATGCAATTGTCTTGATGATATTGCACTTTCAACTTATTATTTTAAATTTAACGTGTATGTAGCTTTTCTACATTCACTAAATAAAGAATGATGATAGTCATCATGTTAGATACGAAGAACTATATTTGAAAGCTCATGTGTTTGATTATCAATAAGAGTATAGTATATTATATGATTGCCGATCAGAAAAAGTATGATAGTAGAGAATGTATTTTCAACTATTGTGATATTGATATTAGTGATTTGAAATGACTATTTATTTGTAGACATAAATATTTTGTATGAGTCAGTTTTTTGTTTACATACTACTCATATGACTGATGAGTGAAAATGCGACCGATATTTTTTGCTATTTGAACTATTCTTCAAATAATGTTTAAAATCTGCATGTTTCAACCGCTTAAATGGAAGACAATACGATTAATATTCTAATAATTCCTATCGTAGTTAAGCATATTGTGGATTATTAGTCGATAGATATATAGAGTCAGTAACTATTCATCAATTCACTTGACCAACAATTTTTGTTTTTGTATTCAATAAAATACACATTGCTATGTTAATATTAGACATTGCAGCTGTGAAAAATGAATGAGATGTTTATAAACACCGAGTACTAAAATACTAAGGTTTTGACGAATACATGCAATCCTTTATTTCACTTTGGTACGTAGCTGCTATAATAATATTTCCAACTGTTGTTTTATTGATTATTATTTGTCATAGCGATGATAGATGAGTAAATTTATTACTAATTAGACGATGAATGTGCCTTATTAGTACAATAATTACTGCAAATTACATTTCTCATTAAAATAGATAGAGGAAGATGTCGTCAAAACAAGAATGTAAGCAAGTACTTTTGTGTCTACTCTCGAAGCAGAAGAAAGAAAACGTGCATCACTTGATTGTTTGTTCAATAATAGTTCTTTTTTAATTTTTAACGAAAGGATATCATCTAATAAAGTTTTCTTTCTCGATGTATCTCATAATTGCTATATACAACATCATCATACAACGACTATTTATGGATTATATTTGGGTTCCGTCTTCCATGTTTACTATCACAAATGAAATATTCGTAACTAAGTTTCTTTTTAACTGTGAAATCAAATTCTAACTGATTAATCTTATCGATTACTTCCTTTACTGTTCAATATTTCACGCCTTTTAAAAATACTAAATAGGTAGAATTTAAAAAAAAACAATCTGATTAGTCACTTGCTCATTTTTCTCTGTAAATAAATGACGAAACATTTTTGAAATAAGTTCTAGTATTATACTGCCATCTTTGATTATAAAAAACAAAAAAGAAATCTTTGGTGAATATCTTTCGACTAATAAATAAAATAAATAAATAAAAAGTCGTTCAAATACGAATGGTTTATTCTTTCCATCAATCAAGGATATTATTTATGTAAATGATCATCCAATAAAAATGATTGATTAAAAAAAGAGTCAATCAAAATGAGGGTACATAAAGACATAAATAAAGTTTACAATGGAGTAAATACATATGAAGACCTATTCTGTCAGTTAAGGAAACAAAACAACAAATATTTTATTTCTCAATTATATTGTTACTTTTATGATTATTTTATTTTTAAGATCTATTTTTTTTTTCTATTTTTTTGCATTTTGTTTATCATCATAAAAGTTGTTAATATGCACTGTTAACATCTTAAGAAAAAAAACCGAATTATGTCACCGAATAATCGATTTTTTTCATGCTTTTTTTCTCGTTTCTCAACTACTAATAATGATCATCATCGAGCTCATCAACTTGTTAATACCGAAGATGAAATAAATAGTGATGATCCGACCGAACACACAATAGTTGAAGAACAAAATCTTGTTTCTCAACCAATAACAACAAGAGCTTATTCATCATCCTCAATATTAAAACGATATGAACGAAATTATATTTCAGCATCATGTAGTATGTTTGCTATAGCTGCATTAGCAGTAAGTCTATCTGATTATCGATGGTTCTGGTTAAATGGTGGTTTATGCAATTCAAAATATATTGGTTTAAGTATGTTTTTTGCTGTTGGAAAATTATTTGTTGTACGAGTACCTGTTGCATGGGATCCATCAGCACCAATGAACGAAATTTATCAATTTAAACCAAATGATTATATGGGTATATTTTGAAAAAAAAAGAATATGATCAAATAATCAAAAATTTTTTCTTATAGATTTAAGTGGTTGTGTTGATACACGTTCGATATTAATTCTTCGTTTAATGATAACATTAATTTGTTTAGCGATATTTTCTTCGACTATTGGATTTTTATTAGATGCACTTGGACCAATGAAATTTGGACTAAAATTTATGAGACGTCATGCGTTTTGGCATATTTTATCAGGTAACAAAAAAATAAAAATAAATTTGATTTAAGTTTTCGTAAATGATTTTATTTTGTTTTTCGATTTGTTTAGTTCTTCTTTGTACAGTAGTAACCGGTCTATGTTTTTGGGCATCGGAATTAATTTATGATATTCAAGATAAAACTCGTACGAAAATAGGAAAAAAAGTCGAAGTACAATTCGATGTCGCTTATTATCTTGTTGTTATGTCCAGCGGTCTTTCATTATTAGCATCTGCTTTTGCACTCTTAAGACGATATCCAACAGCTGAAGAAGAACATTTAGAAAGGTATATTATTAATCATTTTCGGACGAGATTTACTTATATAAAAAAAAAACAAAATTTCAAAAACTTTGTAGGAAAAGAAAAGACGACGATTGAAGGTAGACTATTTGTCTTAATACTACAATATATTGGAGATCGTTAGATAATAAATAGATTCCTCATTGATATTTCATGGTATTTCTAAAAAAACAAAGTTCCGATTGTGATAGCAGTTGTTTTTGATTCAGTGATACAAAGAGAATAGTGTTGAACGTTTAAAACTTATTATGCCTACAGAATGTTTAAAAAAAACATGCACGAAGATGATGTTCCGTTTTGTTTTGAGAGGTGCTTCACATCTATAGTTTAAGACATGATTCAGGTAAACAACTATTCTGCTGACTTCTTATCTAAAGATCTTTAAAATAAAACACAGTTGAATGTTTTTCTTTTTTAAAAGAGGATGAATTTTAAAATAATTTTATCTTATGTAGTATCAAGTAATAAAGATGTTCGGAGTTCATTATTTACATACTTATGAGGAAACCTTTTCATTGGTGTCAAACTTTATGCATATAGAGAACTCAATTATATTAGTTTACATAAAAGGATCATTATGTAGTATCTACAGGCAAAAAAAAATTTATTGAACTAGGAAAATGGGTATTTGAAGAGGTTCCCTCATTAGTGGAAATCATAAAAGTGCATTGATAAATTAATAATGAGTGGATTCAAAACTCTGTATGTATGTATATGGATATTTTGTATCTTTGAGAAGTTAAAATAAAAAAAGATCTTTATTTATATTTCTGTTATTATATTTAATTAGATTAATGGATGATTGGTCACGACGTGAAGAACCTTTGTTTATTGAACGTTCTTTACCGGCTTCAATATCAACAATACCAACAAGTGATGAACCACCACCAGAATATTCCGAACAGAATGTTATTGTAGTATGAACAAGTATTTTTCTTTTTTTCAGAATCTCTTATATTAAACAGTGATTGTATCTACAATAATTTTTTCTCATTCTTTTATATTTGTATGTAATTAACTGGAACTTGTTCTTCTTCTTCTTCTTCTTCTTCTTCTTCTTCTTCTTTTTGCTGTAACTACTATATATTATTTACACACCGTAGTTAATGGGGAAAATGAATAAATGCAAAAAAAAAAAAACAGTTGAAGATATATTATAATGATTGAACGATCATATTACTAACATTATATTTGCGTCCTTTTCTTTTTCTTTTATTCTTTAGATGATGACAATATCTTATCAAAGTATTAAGGTCATGTCTTAAATATAATTCTTTGACGATTATATAATATATTAAGTGCCTATGTGTCACTACTCAACATGGTTCTTTCTGAAAAACAAAAAAATGAACTGTAAGATTTTCTTTTTTTTTTTTTAATGTCTTATTGATTAATAAAAAATTATATATATGTATGTTTTTTCTTTTATTTCAGTAATCAAGCTATAGCTGATTATTTAGCCACAAATGGTTATACAATCTCATGTAAAGAATTTTGCAGAGAAGCAAATATTGTATGAAAAATTTTGATAAAATAATTCGAATAAATTGATTTGTTCTAGTCTACTAATGAAAGTGTGGAAAGAAAAGATCAATTGGAAAAAAAATGGACTTCAGTTATACGACTACAGAAGAAAGTAAAAATAAAATATTTCACTAGTGTTTAATAATAATGAATACTGAACGTTTTTTTTTATTATTAAGGTTATGGATCTTGAATCAAAATTACAAGAAGCTCTACAAGAAGCGATAACTGGTGTATCTCCTGGACCAAAACGTCAACCTAACGAATGGATACCTCGACCTCCTGAAAAATTCGAGCTAAAAGGTCATCGTGACACAGTGACACGCGTTGTCTTTCATCCAACTTACGATATTCTTGCATCAGCTAGTGAAGATGCAACAATTAAAGTATAAATTCTTCATAATAAATATATTTTTTAAATTTATTTGTATATAGATATGGGATTATGAATCAGGAGAACATGAACGAACATTAAAAGGTCATACAGCACCGGTGCAAGATATTGCCTTTGATCATACAGGCAAATGGCTTGGTAAAACACTTTTCTTTATTCCATTAAAAAAAAAAAAAAACTTCGAATCTTTTTTTATTCTTGCTTAGTATCATGTTCGGCTGATATGAGTGTTCGTTTATGGGATTTTCAAACTTATCAATGTGTAAAAACAATGCATGGTAATGAAAAGTCAATAATGTGATTTTAAGTTTTGTTTTTCTTAGGTCATGATCATAATGTATCGTCAGTAACGTTTACTCCAAGTGGTGATCATATTATTTCATGTAGTCGTGATAAAACGATTAAAATATGGGAAGTATCAACGGCGTAAGTGTCATTGTTAAAATATATTTTGATAAAAAACAAATAATCTAGTTTATAAATTGTTCATCTTAGATAGTCAAAGGTAGTTTTTTGTTTTATGAAAAAAAAAAAAAGAAATTAAGCATGTAAAATATTTATCATTTCAAATTATATTGGAGATAGTAATTTAAAATGATCATTTCACATAATTAGAGATGTGCTGGACTAAATTCTTTTTGGTTTTAGTCATAATCCTAATAAATTTAATCTAGAAGAAACTATTCAAAATTTTATTCATATCATGTCTAGAAAAATTCTTCAATATTCACTGTTTTAATTTGTTTAGTTAACGACCAGTACTCTCTTGGGTAATCTTTCTTGAATTATATTTTGATTGATATGATTTATAAGATAATTTGCTTAAAACTATAGAGTATTGAACTATCTATCAATGATAAAATGCTTGTGAATCGTATTTTTGATGCATACTTTCATAAGTAGTCAATCACAAAAAATACAAAGTTCTCAATAGATTTTTTTTTTACATGTAGAGAACTCGTTGTGCTGATCTTTTTCGGTAAAAAAGAAATATTCAAATTCATTCAATAAATCATAGTGCTCAAGTCAAAATAGTCGAAAACATCTACAATCACTCAGTAGCAGTCAAGAACAGTCGAATTATTCACTATGATTTCTTGAGTAAATTTGGAGACGACTCATTAGAGCGTATCAGGCTGATTTTGAACTAGATGGACTCTCCTACCTATCAAAAATATGATTTGCAAGCATTTTATTGTTTGTCAGATAATCTTTAGTTCTGGTTGGGACAACTTTTCCTTAATACTTGTAAACCTTCAAATTTCAGTCTCGCACATCTCTACACTTAGCACTGATATATCATAAAAATTGTAGAAATATTTCTAATAATTTAATTTTATAGATTTTGTGTAAAATCTCTTGTTGGACATCGAGAGTGGATACGTATGATACGTGTTTATCACGATGGTACATTAATTGCCAGTTGTTCAGTCGATCATGTATGTAAATGAAGAATTTTTATGAAGTAAAATTTGTGTCTTTGATAGACTGTACGTATTTGGTCACTGCCAAGTGGTGAATGTAAAACTGAATTACGTGGTCATGACAATGTTATTGAATGTATTGCTTGGGCACCGGATTCGGCCGGACCACATATATCCGAATCGATTTCTAATGGTGGATCTGAAGTATTTATCTTTGTTTTTATTCGAAAAAATTTATTTTCATAAAAAAAATATTCTTTATTATTAGACACAGAAACGATCCGGTCCTTATCTCGTATCCGGTGCACGTGATAAGACAATTCGAATGTGGGATGTAACTAATGGTTTATGTTTGTTTATATTAGTAAATATTTAATTAAAATAAATATTTTATTTATTTATTTATTTATTAAATTTATATTAGACTGGTCATGATAATTGGGTTCGTGGACTTGTATTTCACCCAGGTGGAAAATATCTATTGAGTTGTTCTGATGATAAAACATTACGTGTATGGGATATTAAAAATAAACGAAATACAAAAACTATTGATGCTCATACTCATTTTTGTACTTCACTTGGTAAAATATATCGTTCATTTATTTCTTATTTTATATGTTTGCTTTATTTAGATATGCATCGAAATAAACCTTTTGTGATTACGGGTAGTGTTGATGCATCAGTTAAAGTATGGGAATGTCGTTGAACTTGTATTAACAGCATTAATAGACATGCTAATTGTTTCCTTTTCTTTCCAACTCATCCTTATCGATTTGTATTCCTTTATTTGCGTGATGGAATTGTCTACTATTATTTATTTTCTTGTTCTTTCATGTATCTGCTACTGATGCAATAGCTTTTTTTTTCTCTTTCTTTAGTCATACATACGCATATATAAATATATATATACATAAATTGACGAGAGAACTAAAACAAAACATATTTAACTGAGAGGAGACATAACAATTTCCTTTGATGTGTGAACGAACAAAAAAATAACTATCCAGCACACAAAATGCATTTTTCTTTTTACATAAACTTTCTTTTTCTCTCTATTTTTGAAAAAAATAAACGACATATGAGCGAGACACGAAAGAAAAAAGTGTGTGAATGAACTACTTTGTTTTCTTTTTTTTTCCCACGTTGCTTGTGTATGTCTGTTGATTTTACTTATTTGTGTGTATGTGTGCGCACTGTTTGTTTAGAATGTTGCTCTCTCTCTTTTTTTTTTCTGTGTGCATTGATTGGTTATCTTTATTTCGTTTTCTTTGCTCTGTTCACTTCTTTTTCGCTCAAAATACAGTACAGAAGTTCGAGAAAAAAGCATTTTTTTTTTACATCAAAGTCAAAATACACTAAACACAAAACGAACAACATGAAGTTTAAATGAAGCAGGTAGAAAATATCTAGTTAATCTTTATGTAAAAGCCAAATACATGTTTGACCAATACCTGTCATTGAAATTACGTGATAACCAAGTGTTTCCAGTTTATCAAGAACAACACGTGCACAATCATTTGTACGATATTCAGAACTAAAATACAAGAATATTTATGGTTGATTGATATAGGAGGCTAGCTGAAAGTTTCTAAACAATCCTAGATTGAGTATATTGGAAGTTAGAAAAAATTATTAGAAATTTATCGCAAGAAGAATAGTTGTTTTTCTGATTTTCGCCTTTTAAACGTAAAATGATCCTACGTCACAACTCTGCTATTGTTTAGCAGATTAACCAAAACTCTCCATCCTTGAGCCATTTGGCAAAGTAAGATTTTGCTTTTTCAGAAATCTTTTTTGAGTTCTTTCAAAAGTTACACAATAATTCTAAGCATATATCCTGAAAGTATACGAAAAATGATCCAATATTTTGTCAAGAAACTTTTGGCCCACTCCTAAAATAAAGAATCATAAATACTTCAATCATAGCTAGAATCAAGTGATTTAATTCATCTATCGTACCGATGAAATACGTTTTAGAGTATGAATTTTAATTTGAAATAATTTTTTTCTTATCTCATGTAACGAAAAACTTCTATTTCAGTCAAGTTAAGATGACAATATCCATTTTTTGTTGTGTATACCTGATCAAAAATGTAAATCAGAGACACAATCTTTGTTCGATAGCTTAAGTGCCAAGAGAACTATGTTATCCAAAGAATAAGTTCGTTAGCTTAAGCATAATTTATTTATGAAACGTGTAGGCAGTAATGTTCTATTGTAGAGATATTTTCCTAAGAAGTTGAGCTTCATTCACTGAATAACTACTACGTTCTCGTCTTAAATAAATTTGAAAACTCATCTTTTCCGAGGCTTTTAGCATTTATTTATTTGCAATTATCATCGAAAGAGTAATAATGTTAGGAAAAAGAACGTGTCATCAAATTGAACAAGATTAATTATGTAATAAGAATGATAAAAAAAACTAATTCGAGACAACATCATCATCAACATTAGTTGCATTTTCTATAAATAAATCAAATGATAAAATATTCAAATTAACTTACAAATTGTTGCATTTTTCATGAAAAAGTTGAGCACCTAAATAGGCCATAATTTCTGGATCTACTCGTTCATCACCTACAATAGTTGGACCTGATTCAAGACGAATTCTCGTACTAACAAATAAATGAGGCATATCTAAAAAAAAGAAATCAATAAAATATATTTTCATTGTGAAGAACGAAAAACAAAAGAAATATTAAAAGACGATCTTTTAAGTTCGAAATCCAATAATTAGTCATTAATGCATTAATATCTCGTATTCATTTTATGGTTTTATAAGATGTTCACCTAAATCAAATTAATCATTTAAACAGTATTGCAAAAATTGAAAAATATGCATCGCGTTTTACAACATCAACTCGTAAATGATTATCTTTGAAATGTATCTAACATAATTCTGTTCTAGAAAGCACTTCCAAGACAATTATATCATAGAACCAAGCGTCTGACTTTAATAAACAGAAGCAGAACTAAGTCTGTAAAAAATGTCAAATTCTATCGGATCGTATTACCGATTTGTAAAGCAATGTTCAAGCTACAAATTTCGTTAACCTGAAAAGTCGGTATTTTTCAATTATTTAGGACTACATGTACCTAATTTCGAACTCTTTAATTAACAAGATTTAAAGAATGAAATTGTTCTAAAATAGAGTCTTTTGCTATAACTATGAGTTTCGAAGACAATCAATCACCATCTCTAGAAGACATACATAACTCAATTCATTTTGCATTATTCGTTTGAAATATATCAAATCATAGAAAATTTGCAGCGAAAAAAAATAATTCAAAAAATATTTTTTCCGTTGTAATATTTTGTCTTTTTCACAGAAGCTTATTAGTATAGTCTTGTTTGGAGCTGACATGTGGAACTCACATACATGTTCGCACATTGAACATTTCCTTACTATTAGTACTGCACATATTAGTACCTTAGAACTTTTGTAAGATATTATTTAATTATCTATGTCATCTTCGTAATAACTATTTTATAATACAGTATGAGTGATTTATTTTTAGGTTCTCTTTGAAAGCATATTCTTATTATGATTGTCATATATTTCTCGAATATTAACAACAAAAATGTTATGTATTTTATTTAAAATAGAATATCCTATTCGAATATTAATTATTTCTTTTTATCGTAAACTCAACATATCTTTGCAATCTTTCGATTAGAAAATCAATTTTATAACTTACAAGTAATGACTCTCGTTAATTCATCCTTTTTTGCAACATATCTTCGGATTTAATTTAGATAACATTTTCAGCTTCAGTTACATTGCTTTTTGCCTGAAAAAACAATCATTTTTTTGGAAGAGAAAACAAAAGAGTATTTTTGTACCCAAATAACCTTATCCTACTGTGTTCTATAAACATGGAACTTACTCATTGACTTTTTTCATATTCTTTTGTTCAAGAAGATTTTTAAGTAAAGCATTCAATACATCACCTCAAAATTGATCAACATTTGAATCAATATTTGTTGCTTTTTTCAGAGCAGTGCATTAAAAAATTTATGCAAAACCATCTTGAGTTTTCACTCAATAGTCGAAAAAATTCATCTATAGAGTATATTGTTGATAGTCAATTACAAGTATGATTTGGTGAAACGTTGATGTTAAACATCGATGCCTTGAAAGTTTTTATGGCATTAATATGTGAAGAAGCCATTTTTTTTTCTTTTATCATTAGAAATCGAGTAAGAGTGGCTATCTGTTGCGTATGACTCAAGACATGACAATATGTAAATGAATAGAAGAAAACAGATGCCAATCCATTACAAGCTGTTGCAAAGAACACAACTCAATAATCATGACATACAAAACATATATTATAATATCTACAAAGATTATTTTCTCTTTCTTTTTAAGCATAAATTATTTAATATTTCATGAATAAAATAAGAATAAAACAATATGGACAAGTTGCGTTCATAGTTATGCGGCAAAAATACTCAATTTATTCTTTGGAATTTGTAATCTTGTTAATAAATGCCATCTAGAACAAAAATTAAAAAATCTAACGTGAAGAATCTTTTGAAACAAAAATGTTCTTGAATGTCAATTATTTGAATAGCTTTCTCGCATAATCAATGAAGTTCTATGAAAAAATTTTCATTTATGTGTGCTTTTGCTAATGGTTTGAAAAATGACACATTATTGACTTGAAAACATTAAGAAAACTCATATTGTCATTAGAATAATGACAATGTCAGTAAGTTTAACCGAAAGAAAAAAAGCGGCTCGAGTATTCTTGCTTTCGGTTGCGAATAATAGAATCTATTTTTCTCTTTTCTTTTCAAGTATTTCTCATGTATTTCATTCTATTTACCACAATGAATTTCTTTTATGTACTAAATAAATGTAATATCAGTGCCTCTGGTAGTAATTATAATGAATTGATCTGTTAGATCACATTAATGGCTTCGTATTTTCATATGACAACAATAGACATCACTGATTATTGCGTGTATTTTGAAAAATAGATCATGTTACATTAGAATACATTATATCTAGTAGAAGACACACTATGTCAGAACTTATATTGTTTTCAGAAAACATCTTCTGAATAAAGAACATTAACACAACATAGTGATCGTCATTCTTCATGAGAGTATTTCTGAAAAACAAGTTATTGTGAATATCCATTATATTTACAGCAGCAGGTCCTAACACTCTATTATATATGTCAATAAAATCACAAAAAATTGATATTGATTATTTTTAAAGGTTATAACTTGACCAATTCACACTTTTTATGTTGATCAACTGACAATTGTGGTAAATTAATAGATCACTACCTATGATCGTTGACATTTTGAGTATAGATTCTTTTCTACGCAAAAATCAAACACTGCACTATGTAAAACATTTGCAAGTCATTCAAAATATGACGAAGCCTTTGGAATATTCTAGGACTCTAAGAAAGCATTCTGATGCTGATTGTTCTCAATTGCTTAAGTCTGTGATGGCGAACGAAAAAAGGAAGTCGGAAAGCTTCGACTTGAAACTTAGGGTGCGGGTTACAACGATACCTACATACACACCTTGTTTTGATTCTTGTTCTTTCTTCTGTAGAAAAGCATCACCTATCTCAAATGTTAATATTTCGTTGATGAAGAGTTTTTTCTTTCCTTATTGGTTTTACCTCAGTCATCATTGACTCTCAGCGATAAACCGAGTTCGTTGAAGAGGTGAGAAGCTATCATATAAATGAGTAGTCAAAAAGCGAAACAACATTCATTTTCTATTATTCTTACTCTTTTGCAGGTAGATGGGGATAACAAGAAGTAACAAGTTTTTATTTCATTCTGATATTCTCTCCCTCTTTGATTTTACAGCAGTTGTTGCTCTCTCATGGATACACAGATATCAGTGAAGAGGTGAATAGAAATAACAGAAAGGGATAGCCACAAGCCAACAGAACCTTCTTTATTGATTGTGTTCATTCACTGATTGGCAGATTTAATGATAGCTAGCTGTCTAGTGTCTTGTCATTATGAACACTTTCTTATTTTTGCCTATTACGGCAATGATGACATTAACGCAGTCGAATTTCTTTTTATACATATGTACAATAGTCGGATATAGAAAGGGCTAACAAGTTAGCATGAAGTTCAGTGTTAGTTTGTTTCTTTGTTATGGCATGCCTAAACACAAAGAAGACAGCTTTCAATTATTATTTCTTTGAATTATTCTTTTTCTATTCGTTCTTAAATAAGAGTGGCAGCGTATTGCACGTGAACAAAGTTGTTAGCATCGAGCAACATAGGACCAATTTAGATATAGATGTCAGGATCAATATTTATTTTGTATTTTGATCCTATAAAGAGCACACGTACAAAGTGTCGAATTTCGTTTCAGGAAGAAGACATCAACCAATAAGAGAAGGAAACGAAACGAAGTAAAGCACACTATCCGTTTCTATTCTTTTTCTAATAGTAGTTGCACTGTGTTGACAGTCAGTTCACACTGATTTTTTTGTTCATGCTATGTTTATTCGTCCGTCACAAACCATAGTTTTCTAGTACCTGAAGTAAAGGGATTCTGTTGTATTGCTCGTAAAATGGTGAAAAATGTTGATTAATTGCAAAAAACCAAAACAGTAGAATGCAAGAAGCAGCAAAAGAGTGTGGAATGGGTTTGAGTGAAAATATAAAGAATATTCACACCTCACACCCAAATCATTAGGGATCAGAGATGGACGAGCCGCGGTGTAAAACCGCCCCGTCCCGCGGCGGGGCGGTGCTAAAACTTGACGGGGCGGGGCGGTGACGGTGCATGACGAAATTTCACGGTTTCCCCGCCTTTGTATAATCTTGATTTCTTAAATATACTCAGATCTTTAGAGACATCTTTTAAAAATTTTTTCAAACTAAACTAATCAGTAAAACAGCTTGTTAGCGCAGCTCTAGAGGAGCTAAAACGTGGAACTCACATATATTTTTTTAATTTTTTTGTCCTGATGCCTAATTTTTAAATTGTAAAATACCTTTTTTCCGAATACGTATGAAATCATTGATATATTACATAAAAACTAGAGCCTTTTATGCGCTGTTGCTGAGGTCTGTCATGGTGGGGGTCAGGGTTGCCAGGTCGAAAATTAAAAAAATCAGAAAAATTTTTCTAAAAATCGGGAAAATGTCGGAATTTTTGTTCTCGAAATCGGAAGAAAATCAGAAAGTATTTTTCCATGCTTAAATAACTAGTCTATATATTTTCAATAGCTTCAATATCCTTTATCTTGCTTCTGTTCATCTTTTCGAAGAAATATCGGAAATGATATTTCATAAAGAATTAAAGAAAATATCGATTACACAGTTCATTCATGATTAAGAAAGCTACATAAGTCATTTGAACAGGATCACATTATTTTTATCAAAATGCTATAACCAACTTGACGAAACAATAGAATCTGCATTGTAAATTCATACACACATGCATTTCACAAAATTTGTGCAAAAGAAACTACGACTTATTCTGTATAATGTTCGTTTTTGTTCATACTTTTTTATTAGCTCGAATACTCTTCAAAATATCAGGTTGAGGTAACAGATATTCATAAAAATGTCCACAAGTATAACAGAATTCATTCCGATTTTCAATTCTGCAACAGCTAAATTAGTACCCATAC